AACCCTAATTCCAGTATTTACTTTAATCACTTCATAAAGAAAACTACTAACATATTTTACTAACATATTTTTTGTCTTTGAATCTGGGAAAACCCTTGTATACATCCACTTTTAAATGCCATGCATATTACATCTGTCTTAAAGTCTGAGCATTAATCAAGAACCACCATCTACGAAAAGAACAGAGGTCTTACAAAACCAAAGGGAGAGACCAGCAGAATTTCATTAAAGCTGAAGATGATTAATAATATATTATATAAATATTTATATATTATGATAAATACGTACTGCTTATTTTTGGGAGCTTAAGCTCCATAAGGTATAATCCACAAAGACGTAAAGATGAAGGATATGGCTAAAGCAGTTCTAAAACAAAGTAATGATGGACCAAAGAGTTACAACATGAAGGCACGTAACTATTGCAGCACACCTATCCTTGATTGAATACCTGGTGTGATGGAATATGAAATATAGTACTGTACATGGAATGGATCATTATTTGAAGAATGTCCAATAATCCTCAGCAGTGCGGGGTATTGTAAAAGGCCCTGCCTCTTCTGGACAGCCACTGAAATAGAGCTCACTTTCCTGTCTGTATTTTCCATTAAGGCTTTGTTAAAGCACATCCTGTAATTTAGCTCATTTTCGTGTAGAAACATGAACACCAGAATCTGAATTTTACTGTTTGGCCACACATACTTTCCATAAAAACTTCTTCAGATATTTTTCCAAAAGACTCATATAGACATGGATTTTAAACATACTGTGCTCTTAATGGCTGCTGGACTTCAAAACAGAAGCATTGTGCCAAAACTGTAACTTGATTCACCTATTGTTTTTCATTCATTTTCAATGATAATGTTTGTCATTTATTGAAGATTTCATAAAAAGCTTCACAACCAGCTGCTGTCCTGACATCTCTGAATGATTGAACATGCAGGAGAAAATTGACTTGCAAGTACTATATTTTCAGCTCCACCTCTGCCAAAACCCTACAGTCCACAATTACTCTCTGTATTAAAAGCAATTATAATAAACTGCTGCCAAAACAAAATACTATTAATTAAGTGGTTTTGGAGTCCATGTGTACACATAGCAAGGGTGCTCAATTCTCTGTCATTGACATGTCACTTTCTCCGGGCTACTAACATACATAATTTATTGGTCTAGGTTGAGTATGGAAAAACAGTTTTGTCTAGGGTTTTCTCTGAAAACATATATTTTTACAATGTGCAACAGTAGACACCTTAGTAAAGTGGTTTCTATGAATTATTAATAATACTTTGAAGTTGATACACCAGTAAAACAAACAATAAGCAGATTTCCAGAATCAAGTGCCAATTACAATATATCCCTGACTATCCTTGATGAGTTCAACATGCACAGTATGGCAAACATGCATACAATTGCATAAAAGTAGCATTTATTAAATGCCTACAGAAATCCAAAGACAAAGCTTTAAGATGATCACCTCCTCTCATCAGCTATAAAAGATGGAATGATAGTGGTTGAAAAAACAAAAGTCTCATCAAAGAATGAATCCAATTAACAGCCTGTGCCTGTTTGGATTATTCTGTCATTATTGCTTTAGAATTTCTAGGAATATTATGCTTTTAATTCACCTGGTGAATAATTTTAGACATTAACACCTTCTGTCAACTGTCACAGCTAATGATGGTGTACATAAATGTTGGACAACATGGCAGAAAATAATATCATAAGAAGAGTCTGCCAGCTTTTCTTAAGTAATGTTAAAGGGACTAATTTAATCACCAGTTTATGTATGTTTTATTTGGAAATGTCACTGTTCGATAATAGTAGTTATGAACATTAGAATACAGTTCCTCATAAGAGGTTATAAATACTGACGCGAGGGTAATTTCATGTTAAACTATTCAGCATAATTTCAGTACCTTAGGCAATCGCATGAAAAACATTGTTTCAGCAAATAAACCAATTAAAATTTGTATTTTAAAGTATTACAACAGAAACTTGACAGCTGATTGAAAAGTATATTTTTAATTTGCTAGAACCAGAAGCATGGTGACTTTAGGGAACATGTTGCAGACATAACTACCACTAAAGCCAGAAAACACACACAAGATTAAAACAGTGTACAGTTCAATACTATTTGCTAGTGAATTCTCTCAAGCATCATTAAAGATTCATACTTCCACACTATGGCTGTTGCACAGCAAAAACACCGTGGAGAACCTTTTCTTCCAGTTAATCTGTTTCCTGTGTATTGTGTTATTATTAAATGAAAAGTCCCTATTGCAAAATTATTGATTTCCAGGAGGTGAGAAATATGATTTTGTTTCAAACTGTCAGTCCAAGTCAGTATCAGAAGAAGTTTACACAAATTTACCAATGAAATTGAATAACTGGCCATGATTTTAAATCTTGAGGTTTGGCTCAAGGAGGTAGCAAAACCATGCCGATACTTGTGTTCAACATTTTACCACATATGCAGGATATGCTTAACAGTTTTGATGCAAAGAGTTCCCTGCCACCTTTAGAATCACAAAATGAAATAATAATGGTTAAATAAAGTCATCTTGTTGAAGTCCGAAGAAGAAACATTTTCCCGTCTTAACAAATCTTGGATTCTTATAAAGTAGTCACAGCCACTACTTTCAGTTGTTTTGTTCCTGTAGCTAAATCTAAGGAATCTAGCTAAGAGAATCCCAGTGAGTACACTGATCATTTCTTCAGCAGATGGACGCTGTTTTTCAAAATCAGTAATATGTCTTTCAGAGTGTGATATATATATATAAGAACTGTATATTTTAAGGGAGTAATTTATCAAAGCAAATGTAACCTTTTAAAATACAGCTTAGTTTGTAGAGAGAAATAAAACATTTATCTAATATATTAGAACTACAATGCTGAAAAACTAAAAGCTGAATATTACTTAGATTATTTGTAACCCAGCATTTTTGTTACAACATTTGCACTATAGGAATAAAGCTGTCAATGACACCTGCTCCAGATTCTTGTTTGAGTTTTTGCTTGAGTGCTTTCCATACTGTTTAATAACAACCCATTCCCCTAGGAACCGAGTAAGCAAGATTTTAAAAGCCGTAAACCACAAGCCAGTACTGATTTTGAAAAGATAGCTTACATTGCTCCTTTTATTGTTCAATTTTCTTTTGTTGCAAAAGAGAAAATAAAATTGGATTGTGCCCTGTGGAGCACAGGCTAACCAATCATGAATTATGGTGATTCTGTATCACTATGAATAATAAAAAAATAAGAAATTACAGCTGAATGTAAGTGACTAAGATATTCAGCCCTGTCATACTTTAAGTATACTGCAACCCTGGTTTTGAAGATATTGTGGCACCTGAGCATATCAGGAGAAAGTAAAGATTTACAGCAGTGGCTTAAAGGGTCACCAGCTCACTCTCAAATTCAGCACAAGTCTTAAAAGTGTCTGCAATCAATCCGAATGAGTTCAAGTGTCAGGGCTTGTACATTTAATATCCCATGTGGTTCAAAACCCATCTCACTGCATTTATCTTAATGGAAGGGAATCCATTTGTTTATGAATAAGTAAACAAAACAGATCGACACTACCAATGCTTTTAGTACAGAGCATTTAACCAAATCTTTTTAAAAGCAAACAGAATGCTGACAGCCTTCTTTTGATCTTGTCAAATGGGATGTCTACAGAAAAGTGACCTTAAAAATGTTCTGCTGTAGGCCTGAACAAGCGACAGGTCACACAGTGGCAACACTTGGTAATTCCAAATACAATTAGTTAATCTCTCTGTGTCCAAGGCTCTGTGCAAATCATCTTCACTTTAAGGACTTTGGATAACATCCTGTTGGTTTAGCTTTCTAGTTATGTAAAAAATAAAATAAACCCTTGCAGTCAACTATTGATGATATCATGTCTTTATGAAAGTGGTCTTCTTCTGATTTCTTTATAAAATGTAGTTTGTCTTTAGGTATACTACCAAACATTTTTATGTTCACTCACCATATTCTTCAAATAAGTTTCAACTAATAATAAGAGTGTGTTGTGGCATTGCTCAGTGTCAGAAGTTGTATTTTCATATTGCTTTGAGCAGAAAACACCATTATCTACCATGTAGTCATATCACTTTAGACAATATCAAGAAATCTATTCCACACAAGAAACTGTGGATGCAGTCAGGGAGATAGAACTCCTATTTCCAGAAAGTGTCTCTATTCTCTTTTTAAAAGGGGCTTCCTTGTCTTAATAACTTTGCACAATTGGATATAAAGAAACAAAGTGCCGGGAGAGAGACAGGCAAACAGGCAGCAGCAGGCAGTAGTAGCAAACAGGCAGAAAACACAAAGCAAGAAACAGGAAAACTAGAAACAAACGTAGGCACAGACCAAGACTCTTCAAGGGCCGAGAGTACTGCCACAGACTTTCTATCTGATCGTGTAGTCATGGCAACTGGCTGACTGGCATGTGAGTACAGGCATCACTGGTTGCCATGGTAAAGCTAGCTTTCACATCAGTGCTCCATTAGTGGCAAACATGACAATTGCAGATGTTCTCTGTTCCTAACTGTAGCCCGGACAGTGCAAACCTTCTTGTAGGATAAAACATGCTCTACACTAGACAAGGATAACCAAGAGCTCCAGCAGCATTGGGTACTAGCTTCAGCTAGTCCCTGTCACCAAATCATTCTGAGAATGCAGGGGCATCATGTTTATGCTGATTGACATTGATAATCCTATTGAATGCTACTAAAAAAACAAGTGTTATAACAAGTGTTATTAAAGTAACGTTATCAGCACGTAAACTCAGGTTCAGAATCATGACATTGGAATGAGACCCAGAAGAGCATCATGTCACTTTTCTTTTTTTCATTCTTTTTTTATGAGATTTTGAAATCACCAAGTCATCATGACTGGTGGAACACTGATTTAATGTCCAGTTCTTGACATTCACAAATCCAGGCTCACTTGGTCACCCTGATCATGGTCTGAAGACAATGTCATCATTATTCTGTACTGTAAGAATTTGTAGACAACCCAAGCCATTGTGTAGTTTGATTGATTTCTTTCTCCAGGCAGGATTAAAAATGTACAACACCAGAGTTTTAATTTGTGATTTGTGCATCTTTTGAAAAGCCACCATGTACAAGCACTGCTGTGGAAAAGTTCTAGATATCTTAAATACAAGCAGGAGTTACAAAAACATTAGAATAACACAATGAGCAAATGAAAAATTTATTCAAAACCACTATTAGTTTATAAAAGTATATTTTATACTGAAAGAACAACTATGAATATTATTACAGATAATTTAGTCAGAAAGATATTAAGTTCAACATATAGCAATGTTCAATTTAAGTTTATATAAATCTTTTTTTTTAATTCTTAGTAATTCTTTAATTAACAGCCCAAAAGGAAGCATTATAGCCTTTGCCAATCTAAATTCAAATAGACTCATTGGTCTTTGTCATTAATATTATTTGTTCTCTACACACCCGTAAAGCAAAAAAGGATTCTTTATTGCTACAAAATACAGCTGTATAAGGAATAACTACTGTATTATCTGAAAAGAGATAAAGCTCTAAGCAGAGGATCACTATAAAACTGTTTACATAACAACGGAAAAGTATTGACTGAAAAGAGATCAACAATGCAGAATGTGCAAGACATTTCACAGCAGTGTATCACTCTTATTTTTAAAAACGTTTGCTCATAAATGCACAGTAACTGTAAAAAAGAACAGATTTTGTTTCTTGAGATAGACGGAGTTTAAATCAGAAAACACCTTTGGCCATTTTAATTGGCCATCATTAATTTTAAATGCTTAAAGGTTGCAATTTTAAATAGCAGTCATTCCTTTTCCTTGTCAGATGTCACACTTAAACAGGAACTCTGGCTTAATTCTTTTTGCTAGTTAATTTCTTTTTTTCCTACCAGCAACCAAATGAGCAAGATGGTATCTCATACTTTGCCACCTTGCTTACGTTCTTATAGAAAGTACAACAAGTGCTAAGAACACACTGAAATAATTACAGGCTAAATATGCATTCATTTAAACACATTACAATGCAATACAAAGCTGATTTAACATTTTGCATGTACTTTATGACCAGCATTCTATATAAATTTAATTACCATATCTATCCATCCACCTCAAACGTCCTATTAAATACATCTATTAATCTTTCTCTAAAAACAAACTTTTATTCTTATATTCTCCAGTTTGTTTTTTGTGTAGCCTACACAATTTAAGTATTGTACTTTACAAGTAGTACACATATGTACGTAAATTACAAACAAGGACATTTTACATTATAAAAAGAGAACAATACAAAAGACATTAAGGTTATATCCATATGTTACAAAATCTTTTGTAGATATAATTAATACAATAATAATGCAATTTATTATTTTTAAACCAAAACAGCACCATAAAATATATAGCGGCAGTCTTTGTACCAAACAAACTGTGCAACTAATGTCTTACAGTACGGGAATATTAAAGAATACTGACAATATCAATATCAGTACAATAAAGCCAATAGCACCACAATTATTTGTAGAGAAGGAAGCTACATTTTAGCATTAAATAATATAACAATATTATTCATAATACAAACATAGATGTATTCCACAGTAGTGAAAAGTCTTTACTAGAAGTAGATTACTGCTATCTCTAGGTGATGGGAGACAGTACATACAGCTTTGAACTTCCAGATGTGGAATTTCTTGTCCTCAATACAAGAAACAAATCATTAAAAGAAAGAATTCTACTCAAAAAGCAACTTAAAACTGTTGAAATTCACATTTCCGAATGTTGTCATTTTTAACCTATTTGTAAGTCTCCCATTTTTCAACTGCCCCAGTCACTACCTAATTCCTGAGCTGCTGAAGAATCCTCAGTGACTAATGGTTCACCTCTCCTGTCTGTCAGCACCATGCCCTCTGTACTGTGCCACTCAGACACATAAAACAGATTAGATTCCAAAACAGGGTCTGCGCCAAAGATATTAAAGTATAATCCTTGGAGACACTAAATAATCACTTATTCCAGAAAGTTAGTGTGGAAAAAGTGTCTAACAGTTTCTTTAAAACATTTTATAGGTTTAAATGTAAATATTACCAGTCATTATCTTTGTTTGATCCTTTAGGTGTCTTGACTTGAGAAAAACTTAGTGTACAGTAGAGCTTATTCATTTAGTTAGGCTTTAACCATAAACTCTGGTTAAACGACTGGTTCTTAATTTTTAGCCACAGGAAAAGAATTGTTGATTTTTTAGAATTTCGAATTTTAGAATTTTCTTTTTGACAGACAAAACATAAGACTTAACATTTACAATTAAAATGTATTCTAATATATTGTACTTAATAGTGCACACATGTAGTATACAATTTTGGGCAAAAACTGGCCAAGTGTCAGTGAAATAATTTCACACTGTATTTCGCTTACTCAAGACAATTATGTAAAATCTCTTTAAAGTAAGCCTCTTGAATTATTTTGCAGCTTTGATAGAAAATAAAAGCAAAATGTATACATGAAAAAAATAAATATAATACAAAATATAAAATGGTTTCAATAATTTTGACTTTTTAATACTGCAAATACATGTCCCCAATGTGTGCCCTTCACTGTTGATGCTGGAAGGATATTAATTACTATGGACAAACAGTACAACGTGTGAAAGCAAGCATGCCATCACTAATAAGTATACAATTGTTCTTTTTAGAATGTCTCACATTGTAACATGTTAACAGGATTAGTAGCGGATTGAGCCCCTGTAGATTATTAATGGACAAACTGTAATTTATAACAATAATAACAAAAGAACATTTCCAAAATAGCTATTTTTGTCATAGTCTTTGTAAGTGTAGCAACCAGAGAAGCCAAGGCTTAAACCTGGCCTTGTCACAGCCAGATACAAGTGTAACCAACAGAATAGGTCTTCAGGTAGAGGAAAACGTGGGTTGATTGTAGAGCTCAAGAGGTGATGGGAAAATTCTTCATACATATGAGCCCATCAATAGTCATAACAATATGCTACTGTATGTTTGTCAGGATGAAGTCTAACCATAGGACTAATACAAAGTAAAGGAGTCTGTGTGCTTGATCTTGTTTTTTAAATTTGTTGTGTGTTTACATAGCCCTGCACTGCTTCATTGAAGCACATCAGCAGAAATATATGTTATTAGTAATGATCAATAACTGTATCAGTTTTCTGAACCTAGAGCAGGGGTAAATAACTCCACTCTGGAATGCCGCATTTGTTTCTGTACTTCATTTAACTTAAATTACCTTGAGTTAATTTAACTACATGGTGAAAAAGTCAGGAATGAAGTGAAAGGATCTTTTAAAAACTACAGGAACTTTGCACTGGAGGACTGGAGTTGACTATCCCTGTTCTAGTACACCATACTAAAGCACACATAGTGTAGTTGTTCAGGTTAGGCACCATTTATGCAGGAGGCCCTCACTTTAAATTTAGCTAACTGCAATGTGCAGCAGGGTCTACTGTAGGTTTGTCAGTTTAAGAGGTAAGATTAAACTTGGCATACATAAAGTATCTATACTTCTAAATGGGTTGAATTGCCCTCCAGAAAATCTCACAGATTTCTGACGTAAATTCTATAAAAAACAGACACAGGCACAGAAAAATACTGTAAATGATTAATTTGAAAATCCACAGGGACTCTAGCCTGGTCTTTTGGCATAGAGATGACATGATGCTGCCCTGCCTCAGACATTACATTCAAGCCTTGCTGGCATGACTCTGTGGCACCAGGCCCTATTTTGCAGTTTAAAAATGTCAAAAATAAACTCAAATATGCTAGTGTGGCCTCCATGACATCTCTTGGTGTCGAGCAGTAATCCATTATTTGTAAATTCTTCCAATCAAATTTGTGCCAAAATTAATTAAATCTCACCCTTTCATCCACAGATACTTATCCACCCATGTGTACTTGCTGAAGTGAGATTTTTCGGTCACTAATGGCGTACTCTGTGGTTGGCATTTTGGCTTGACTACATGCTTTTCAAGCTGCAACGTTATTCCTGTGCGGACTGGAATGTGACCGTTTTATCAGTTTTACCCCCACTTAGTGGTAAAATCATGTACTCTGAATAAACCCACTGAACGCTGACAAGGAGAAAATCACATTTAACGTCAATACAATTGGTTGGTTATAGCACAGTCCCAGTGTCTAGAGAGCCTCTGGACACTGAAACTGTGATATGGAACAAGGCCATACAGATGGACCATAATGACAAGAATTAATTGAAACAGAAAGGGGACCTTGTGGACTTAAGAACGCACTGCATTATTGACTAACCATCTCCATACAGGATTATGTCTGATTACAGTGAATAATGTGTTGTGCCTTTCTGTCTAGTAATTTATCCCATACTGTACATATTTATTCTGTCCATGACAGTTGGTTCTTAAATTGTGTCTCTCTTTACAGAAAATTTTAAACCTTTGTGCTTTAATTGCTTTGGTAATAATAATAATAATAATAATAATAACAATAATAAGAAGAATAATAATACTTGACCATGGAATTGAAATGAAACCGTGTCACATTTGCCCATCTAAGAGTACTGGCCAGCCAGTGGCTTGTGAAAAATGTGGTTGACTGAAAGCCTTCATGAACAAAGGGTTGTCAAACATGCTGTACAACAGACCTCCTGACAACAGGTTCCTGGAAATAATGTTTTTAAGGCAATAAGTTACTATTTTGGTGTAACAGCATAAAAAATTCAAGTCATACTAAAAAGTAAGTTTTAGAATCAATGTGCACTGTCATATCTTGCATTTCAGCTGTTTTTTTTTAAATCCACATCCCTAAACTTCATAACAATGTTTAAAAATGAAAAAGCATGATACGACACAAATGATGATGCAATTACTTCCTCTGATAAATTCTACTGGCATAAAAGTCTCTGCAGGTCTCACAGCAGCGCTGGTACCACCTCATGTCTGAGCACAAGTTCTTCTCTCTGATCACCTGGCAGTAGACTTTCCACTGGTCTGCTGTACACTTGTAAGTGAGAGCAGCTGAATGGGAAGATAAAGAAAAGGGTTAAACATAACCTCTGTCTAATCCTATCTTTTCAAACTTATAGAACGCTACAAACACAACAAATAATTCTTAGCTTTCTAAGTCAACTGGATTGTTTCTTTCATCCAATTACTTTTCTGAAAATTAAGGGATACTTGTTTGAAATTACTGTGTTACATGTGAGTTTATGTTGATTAAGGTGATTTTTTAAGTTTTAGTTTATTCTCAGGCAGTTAGATATGATACATAATCACAAATAAACTAAAATGTATTCTTATACAGTACAGCACCTTTCAATACAGAGTATTCACAAGACACTTTACATAAATTACAGTATACTGTACAAATAAATTATACAGTATGCAGAAAAAGAGAATAATAAATTACAAATATATATATAATAAATTAAAAGAACAAATTAAGCTAAGAATTGAAGGTCATAGAAAACAAGTTTTGCAAAGAGATTTAAAATCATGAGCAGAAGGAGCATTTGCAATATAGCCAGGAAGTGTATTCCAAAGACGAGGGGCTCCTGCTGAAAAGGCTTGGTTCCCTAACATATAATGTGAAATCCTTGGAGTGCTAAGCAGCCTAGAGCCGGTGGAACTAAGAGAGTGAACTATGATGTGTGGGGATAGTAACTGTTGAAGGCTCTTTAAGACAAAAATAAATATTCTGAGTCAAATGACGTAGAAAAGACAACAAAAGAACAAAACAGCATTCCAGTAACGAGATCAGAGGCATCTAAGTGTTAATTTCTGATAAGTGCTGCCTTTATAGATGAGTTCCATAAAAAAATGAAAAAGCATTGTGAGTGTGTGAATAACCTTGGAAGTTCTACTGATTATGAATAGCACTGTCTTACCAAGCCTTGGGGATGTGATGGTGTTCGCATTCACTCTCTCGTTGCACACCCCCTGGTGACACTGTCTGTAAGCTGGAGGCTTCAGCACAACTGGGCAATTGTTGCCATGGCGCCCAGTCACTTTGTGCATGCACTGAACAACCCTTGACTGCAGACCTTTTCCACAAGAAGATGAACACTAAAAAACAGTACACAAAGTAAAGATACAACTTTAATATTGTTTTAATATTGCTCAAATACTGTAGGGCTATACTACATATTCCCAATTCTCAATATTCTTGATCATATTATTGTTAAAACAGGATGAATGCATTTTTATAGTGTTCAAGAACTATCTGAGAGATCGCCATATGACTGTGCCCACACAATGCTAAATAACTATTTTATCCTTTGCAGGACTCTGTTGTCAACTTTTTAATGATCTAATCTCACTATTACTATTGAGTTTATTTGTTTTTAACAACCTATCAGTAAATTATAAGCAAATGATGTTTGAATCAGAAAAAAGTGTCTGTGCAGGATAGCTTCTGCAAATGAGTAAACATTACAGGAACTATAAAGTATATTTCAGAAAGAAATTTTAACATTTGAAACCCTCACACACCCCAGCATCTGTACTTGACTTGACCTCAGATAATAACAGACCCCGATCTGTCAAGGTGCTGAATGGTGGAGAGTAAGCTGGTAGCAGTGCCATAGACTTGAACATCAGTATTCATGTGGGTCGCCATTAAGAGAATGACATTTTCCAAAAATTAAGATACAGAAGGTAGGGGCTTGATACAGTTTTCAGCAAAGGTGGAAACTGTGTTTATCAAGAATGGATTGTGGTGTCCCATCCTTACTGGGATAGGCTCCAGCTCTTTGGCAACACTACTGTATATTGAATAAAGCTGATAGAAAATGGATGGATGGATTTGAGTGGTGGCATCATAAGAGAGCTTTCTTAAGCGTTAACAATCTGTCCTCACATCTAGCAAATAATGAACAAGCAAACTTAAGTGCAATGATAAGTTCTGCTGCAAAAAACTAAATGCATTTATGTGCCCTATATTCACAGGAATTATGTTACAGTGGACATAGAAGATGAGATAAGTGACATCATTACTTTCCTTAATACAATCTTACTTTAATGAAGGTGTCAGAATGTTCCTTTCTTCAAGCAGAACAAATTTAAGGCATAGCACACATAATTCTGACATGCTGGTGCCCATGTATGAATATCAATGTGTAGTATTTATCACTTCATTTTTGCTTATGAAGGCCCTGTTCAAGATGGAAAGTAATGAAGTGGTAGTGCATTAATGGACAGAAGGCTAATATATCCTGTCTTTGTCTTTCCGATGTGAATAGAGGAAACAAGAGCATCTGCAAAACCAAGGGATTCCTGCAGTCCTGCACACAGTATCCTCTCTGAGCTATCAAGGTTTGAGAGACAGACACATATTATATGTGGCGGCCTTGTCTTTCTTACACCTGAAGAAGGCTCCACGGGCGAAACTTAGTTTTCTTTCTTCTTTTTTTCAGCATGGAATAAACCTATTACTTGTTCCTTTGCAGCCTATGCATGCTGACGCAGCTACCCACCTGAACTACTACATATTATATATATATACTGTAGGCTCCAAATTAGGGAGTAGGAAATTCATTACATACTGTAAATCCTGTTCAAAATGACAATAAAAAAATTGTAATTTTTTAAGGTATAAAAAAACTCTTTAATATTGTTAATTACCTCCATTATGTCTACTCCGAACATTCTTTGTAAAGGGCTTACTATACTGAAAACCAAAATATGACCACACCCTTAAAAGGAACAAACACAGAACCGGTGCTTCATAACTACAGATGCAGCCATTTAGAATGCTTGAGGTATAATGGCTGTTCCGCAAAACACATGCGTGGTATTTTTCAAATAATCTGATGCGGGACTGCACCACTCAGTAAAACTGCTAGGTAAATAATTGTTCAGTGAATAATTAACCTGCTGCATGTGTAACATAAGTAAATTAATGTTTATGAAGAAAGTGGAATACTGTTGTATACCTTATTTTTAGCTACCACTATTGTCCTATTATACACAGTGTGTATAATATATTTATACTGTATTAATAAATTGATCATTACTAATATTCAGAGACATTATAATACTTTGGTTATTTTTAATTTTCAGATACAAAAATTCAATTTTAGATGTATAATTCCATATTGATATTTCATATTAATTGGGTTTAAAGAAGTACAGTTATGAAACAGATTAAATAAAGTAATAATTTCACTAACATCTAACACACAAGTGCCCCCTATCGATTGGCTTTGGCCTGTGAATCACACAGCTTGCAAAGCGAAGCCAGTTTAACGCGACAATGACTTTTACTGCATGTTCTGAATGGCTGCAGCTGCATTGTATATTAGGATAAAAGAAACATCAATAAAATATGTCTGCCTATTAATATAGTCCATGTTGAAAATGTTATAATTTTTTATAAAATATTTTATTTTTTATAACCACTTAATTTGGAATACTGTTGCATGTTTTCACATCTCAGTTCTCAGCTATCATACTAATAACTGCAAATAAGGGAGAATGAAGAGGAAAGGGTACACCCTGGCTTGCAGTTCCCATCCTGCCCCCTGTGGGGCTCAAACATATTCAACATTGCTGCAGATGTCCTCAGTTCTTGACTCCTCACTGAAAAAGGAACTGATAACTCCAATGCCTGTCTCTTTCTCATGCTGAAACTCAAAGATGTCAATTTGAGTAATAACAGTTTGGCATTGTAAATTCTCCAGTGACAACTTCATTTTGAATAAACTAGATGCTTTCTTGCAGGTGAATATTATACCACATGTTTTCACAGATGTTCCTACAGTATGTACCTTGCATGGGCTGAGTGGTCGTGGAGGTGATGTTTGTTAGAAGTCTCTTTGTGTTTAAAAGTCTCAACATATCAATTAGGACTGAAAAGCAAATTAACAAATCAATATAAATAATAAATAATAAAGAAGGGGTCCCCTTTTCAAATACCCCATTTGCTACAAATGACCATTTTGAATGTCAGCATTTACTCTGCCTTAAAAATTATTATAAGTAATAATTTTAATACTGTATATACTGTATAAAATGGACCCATTGAAAAAGTTGGGTAAAATACTGAGAGTAATTACTAAACATTATTGTAATGCAAATGCAGATTTTGTTAAGAAAAGTGGGGAAATGATTACAGAATCATGCCTTTTATTATTTCGCCATCTGTTATTTAGACAAGCTGAAGTTAAGTAAAAATGTTGAAGGAATACAGATAAGTTTAATCTGTTTGATGACTGGTAACAGAGATATAAACCCAGTACACAAGGGTGGCAGTCTGCCACTTGGCTGTGCTTGAATACATTGCTAATAAATGAATGCCATATTTATTTAAAGTGAATATGTTTATCTCAATGACTTTTTAATGCATTATAATAAACTTATCCTTCAATATTGTAAGAATAAATTTAATCAGGATGCCATCTTGCTTTAGGAATAGAGTGCTTTGATAATAGTTTTAAACAAACAAACTAATTTTTCTTCACCTCATGCAGATGACATTAATAAGATGCACGTACATTTTTAAAAATTTACAATTACTATGGCAATAGAAACATCTTTTCTTTGCTTTCTTGTTGAGAAAGCAAAAGGATGTCACTGCTTAGCCTTTATCTTGTATACATTCATTTATTTCTATGACTCGCTTCAAGGGCTTTACAAGCAGGAACTTTCACATTCAATGAAAACATACTGTATAATTAAACTGTAGCACATTACAGCACAAATACCATTGAAAAGAGGGAGAGCTTTAACTTATTATTTAGAATTATTTTAAAATCTTTTACTAGGATTGTTTCATTACCTTCAACCAGGTAAAACCTGAAAAACATTTAAAAATATTCCTAACCTACTGTAAACCTTAACTCAATATCAATAAATGGTGGTGGTGGGGTACCTATACCTATGTGTATGCACAACAAAACATACTTTCTTTGTAAAAAGAGATTCAGTTTAAGCTTTTGGGTCTTTAAACACTTTTGACCTTTGAGGCAGTCTGTGGGCCCCTATGTGTAGACTGTAGTTCCAGAACAAGTAACGTGCAAACGCAAGTCCATCTGGAGCACAGACACATGTTCAGAACTTGAATGAAATGCTGAGAACCTGTTTGAACCAGAAACCAGAGTTTGCATTTTGATGGCTTTTCAGGTGGTGACTGTTCAGTGCAACTTTATTACTCCTACTGGTTATCTGTGCAAGACTACATTATACAACTAACAAGGAAAAGTTGCACTAACACTTATCCACAGTCATCAAGCAGCTCACAGATTTACAGAGAGAATAAAAGAAGAAATGTGTTCTAAATGCAACCATGTGCCATGAGTACATTTGTTTAAATTTCCAACAGATAAGGGAAAGAAACAACAAGGCACTGAAACTACAGTATCAATCACAACTTGATAAATCACATAATCAATTACATCATAAAGAAACCATTAAATGTTTACATCAGAATCATTTCTGTATAAAGCTTAGACCACTTCAGACATGCAGATCGAAAGGCTAAAATATAGGAGAATGTGTGAAAAGACTCTATTTATAGAGAGTGAACATAAGCCCTGGATATGCTACCATGTGCTTGAGAGAGGCTTTCAAGCATGTGACAGAAGACACAGGAATCGGAGAACACAAGTGGAAAAATTAGTAGGAGACATAGTACGCAGGTATGATTTTGAAGTTGGTACTCAGAAACCTAAACAAATGCTGGAAACTAGAAAATAAATTATTGTATTCTTAATTGGTAAATGTTTGAAAAGTGCAAATATTGTGTGCTTTTACCAATATTAAGATGGCCACAAGTTGTATTTTAGCACACCAAAATGTAAAAGATCAGAGTATTGCATTGCTTTGGATGTCAAAATTGTATCAGATCTGTTTTTTTTCTCTGAGAAAAATGTGGCTGAGAATATTTAATCTCTGAGATGATTCTGTGACATCACTGACATTGCATACAAGCATCAAAAAGAACAAGATTTCATTGTATTTTTTATTTATACTGTGTTTTATATTTGTCAGACATTTATAACAGCAGAACCAGATTGAGAGAATATCAATGTGCAGTAAAATGACATGATACATGACATGATCACTTC